ACCCTGTCTCGAAAAACCAAAAAAAAAAAAAAATGACTAACTAGTAACCTATGTTTCTAGATTATCCCAAATAGTTTACAATAATAACTTTCAAAAACTAGAATTTTACCTCATATTTTTAAATAACTGTATAGGTATAATATCTTAAGCAAGTGTTGAAATATACATACAATATGTTGTAATAAAAATAACCTTAAATTTTTATCAATATACAAAAATCCCCCAAACAAAAACAGAAACATACATACAGTATGTTGCAACAAAAATTACCTTAAATTTGTATCAATATACAAAAATCCTTACAAATACAAAATATTTGAGATCAATAGTTGTCCCTTAGTTTATAGGTGATTCAATAATCTCCCCTATTATTTAAAGTAGATTCAATAATCTACCCTTCTATCTTATTCCTATATCCCCTAAATACAGCAAACATCCATAACCTACCAAATAACCAACAGCCTCCCACAACTCAACTCTTGAGAATGTGGACATTGTGTTCTCCAAACTGCTTCCTGCTGTCTATGAATGAAGAATCATTAAGGGTCCCTGAGAAAATTTTGAAATAATGACCAAGTCCTGGGAAGACCAGCAGTAACCTTTGCTGATAGATACCACCTGTCAAGTTTCAGGAGGTCTCCCTTGACCAAACCTGATCTATATTATTCTTGAAGGAATCCACAGCCTCTTGCCTCTTGTGGGAACAAAACTCCAAAGCATTTTTGATTTCCATTTGACAAATATATTTTTTTAATTCTTTTTTAAAATTAAGATAGCCCTAAAGTATCTAGGTTGGTTCAATTTTGCAGTCCAGTTCACAATTCCATCTCTCTTAGCAGCTATTGTTTGCTTATCAACATTAAAAAAAAAATCAGAATCAACACAATAACATACAGGATCTAGACTCCCTGTGTATTTTCCATCATTACATGGCATTTTCTTTTATATTACTTTTACTCTCTCTCTCTCTCTCTCTCTCTCTCTCAAGACTTTACTATTTCTAAATTTTTTATTTCTATATATGTCCATCCCTGGTGGTGGACAGGTCCCAGCAGAGTATGCAAGGAGTTCGTGGGGGGAGGATGTGAGCCAGGCCATGGTGGTGGTGAGAATCTTGCAGCTTGACTGACTAGCAGCCAGAGTACTTCTTTATTTATATAGAACTTAGTAAGTAGGGATACATTCATGATGTTCTAGAATATAGATTATATCCTTTTTGGTTCTGGACATGTGTTTCACTTCCTCTTGCTCATCTTTTAGTCATTATTAATAAACTATGACAGAACAGAGTTGTCATTTCCAATCATTTTCCCTCAAGTTTTGATATTACTGGTATAGAGTTATCATTTTTACTCATTAACCCCATAACCCAATTTTTAAGAATCTAGAGGCATATGACAGCCTGTTCTCAGGCCAGTAGCTTTTGTGGCTACAAGGACACTAGACCAAAACAAATCTTCAAGTCAGCCTGGCATATTGCCATGTCCCAAGCAGTGCATTATTAGCTCTTAATGGTCAGAGTGCCCAAGAAAAATCCTCAGGCCAAAGCTGTTGCAGTTATTATTCAAATTCTGGCATAATAGAATGTTTATATTTTATATCTTTATAGAATTTGTCTATATGTCTAATCCTAGCATTCAGTTGTTCTTAGTCATACAATATCACAGTGGCTCTGTATGTGCTAACTTTTCTAAGAAAGGGAGGTCCTGACATCTCATTTTTTTTATCATCTTTCCATTCCATACTTTGCTCACCAATATAAGTCTCTGTGTAGGGCTAAGGTAACTTCAGCTAATCTAACTTTGTTGCTGTATATGCCATGTAATTGCCTGAGTGTATAGTGGGAAGAGGCTTGCAATCTGAACTGTGGCCAACTCATCTAGCTCACAGAACCTTGTTGACCTTTTTGAGTTTACTTTGTTTTGAATATTTTGTTCCTGCCTAAGTACAGGGACGTATGTTTCAAGAATATCTCATAGCCTCATAAAGAGACCTCTTTATGTGTGTCACAACCTCCAAGACATAAGGAAGACCTTCAAGTAGATAAAGATATCTCCATAAAAGTGGGAGGGGTAGTAGTATGTTCAGGACATTCCTGGGGAAACTTAGAAATAGTATTCCTGGGAGAAGGCATAAATGATTCAAAAGAAAATTTTCATCAATCCAACATCCCCAAATAGTACAAATATTAAAAGTCTCCTAAATATGCAACAGGTGGAGATGAAAACCGAAGGTGGCATGGTGGCCATCATGTGGCTCAGCTTTGCTAGATCTTTGTTAAGCAGCTATGCTGGCCTTGTGACTTTTGCCGTTCCCATCAGATATGGCTGTGCTACATTTTTTCTTTCTTTCTTAAGCCTATGCAAGCTGGAACCTATTTAGAGGTTTTTCCATCTGTACTTCTTTTTTATTATTTAAATTTTTTCATTTTACATACCAACCACAGTTCCCCCTCTTTCCCCTTCTCCTGCTTCCCTCTACCTCCCCCCACCCCACCTCTCACCCCTCAGAGGGTTTAAGACCTCCCTTGGGGAGTCAACAAAGTCTGGCATACCAAGTATAGGTAGGACCAAGCCCATCCCCCCTGCATCAAAGCTGAGCAAGGTGTCCTACCACAGGGAATGGGCTCCAAAAAGCCAATTCATGCACCCAGAATAAGTCCTGGTCCCACTGCCAGGGTCCCCACAAATATATCAAGCTACACAACTGTCACACACATTCAGAGGGCCTAGTTAGGTCCCATGTAGGTTCCCCAGCTGTCAGTCCAGAGTCCATGAGCTCCCAGTAGCTCAGGTCAGCTCCATCTGGACCTCTTTAACTATTTATCTTTTAGCCTTTTTGACTTCATGAGCAAACTTAAGACTGTTGAGCTATGCCTGGATTCTCCACATGGCTCTCCTGGCTGGTTCTGACTGCTTCTAGGTTCCTGAGAGCCAAGCCTAAACCTCACAGCCTGGTCAGAGGTTCATGACCGAGAACTGCATTAAACCTTCCTAGCTGTGGAAGCTTTCTAAGCTGCCACACGTGGTTTTTATTTAGCACTGCTGGCTGAATAGCAGTGCCTCTTAAAGGAGCTGTGTCTTTTTACTTTACTTGTCTTTTTTTTTTCTGTTTTCACCAGACTTACATGGAAATTTGGCCCCATATTGGGTGTGACAATGTTGTTTTTATCTTTTGGGGGGGCCACCACCCATCTCCCAAATAAATCACACACACAGAGGATTATTCTTACTTATAAATGCCCAGCCTTAGCTTGGCTTATTTCTTGCCAACTTTTTTTTAACTTAAATTATCCCCTCTACCTTTTGCCTCTGGGCTTTTTCCTTTTCTTTACTTCTGCGATCTTACTTTCACTCTTACTCTGTGGTTGGCTGTGTGGCTGGGTGGCTGGCCCCTGTAGTCCACCTCTCACTCCTTCTTTCTCCCTTCTCCCAGATTTCTCCTTCTATATATTCTCTCTGCCTGCAAGCCCCGCCTATCCTTTCTCCTACCTTGCTATTGGCTGTTCAGCTCTTTATTAGGCCATCCAGTGTTTTAGACAGGTGCAGTAACACAGCTTCACAGAGTTAAACAAATGCAACATAAACAAAAGTAACACACCTTAAAACAATATTCTACAAAATAGGGTAAAATTTAGCATCTTGAATTTTATTTTTTGTTTATGTAGCCAAAATTATTATCTTCTTAAAATAATTGTTTTACTATAAGATTATTTCTTAGTCTCATGAAAACCACAAAGTAAAAACTTGTACACAAATGTGAAGGAAAAAGAAAAAGGTCTAAATAATATTACTAGAGAAAATCATCTAACTGCCAAAGTACAGAGTAAGAAAAAAGAACAGGAGGAATGTACCAGAAAATTAGGAAACAGGAGCTGGTACAAACGTGTGCTCTTGTTTATGATATTTCCATGGGTGACATTGGACTGTATTATCCAATTGGAACACGCAGAGCTGCTGAATGGGTAAAAGATAAGGCCCAATATGATAACTCCGCTTCACCAATTAGTTCAGTTCTCAGGACTCATGTTGGGTGGCTCACAACTACCTACATGTAAATCAAGCTCAAGAGGAACAGATGACCTCCTTTGGCCTCTGTTGACACTGCACACACATGCACATGCACACACACAGTTACACCTCACAGAAACACATATATCCATATAGCACATACACACATACACACACACACACACACACACACACACATTCACACAGAAAAGCAAACATATATACACACATTCACACACCACACACTCACACACAAATATACACAAACACTCATGCACATAAACACAAAGACATAAACACATACAAACACATATGTATATACACAAATACAGACACACACAAAAACACATATACATATACACACAAACAAATACATCTGGAGACACACACACAAACACACATACCCATAAAAATAAAATCTTTGTTTCAAAGCAAAGGAAAATGGTTTAATTATTGAATTCTAACAAGTGTTCTGAAAGTAACAACAAATTTCCAAATGTTCCAAATATTAAGGAAGGGGAATACTTCCCAAACACTCACAGCAGGCTGGTACTGTTCTGATACACACAGCAGGGATACACATAGCAAAAACTATGGAACAACATCTAAGATTAACATTTATGCCAACTTCCTAACAGAATACTGGCAAATCATATTTATATCCCATTAAAAATATTGCTCACTATGACCAAATAGAACACATCCCAGGAATGCCAGCTTGTTCAATGCACATAAAAAAAAGAAAAGAATGAAACCCATTCAATTGTGTCAATACACAGAGCAAACCCATTTCACTGAGCCAACATCTCTTTCTGATGAAATCTTCCAGCAAATCAGATGCAGAAAGTCCATATTCCCACACAACAAAAGTCCTTGATGAGAGGACATATCATGCTCTCAGGCATGTGAGCATCATACAAATAACATAAGCATGAGATCTGGATCAACAGATGTGTAAAGAAAAAGAAAGGAAACTTCATTCCAAATTACTTATTTTACTGTTTCTTGAAAGAGGGGTGCCACACCCAACAGTTTCTTCAGGGCCTCTGTGACATTCTTATTCCTAAGACTGTAGATTAGTGGGTTCAGCAGAGGAGTGAGTATTGTGTAAAACACAGACACCACCATGTCCTTCTCAGGGGTGTGGAAGGAGGCAGGGAGCATGTAGGTGTAGACAGCAGCACCATAGAAGAGGATGACCACAGTCATGTGGGAGGAGCAGGTGGCCAGGGCCTTCTTCCTGCCCTCTGCCGAGTTCATCCTGATAACTGTGAGGAGGATGAATGAATAGGAGCTTGATATGACTGTCACAGGGATGAGAAGCATGAGCACACAGCACAGGTACATGAGGGTCTCATAGAGCCAGGTGTCTGAACAGGAGAGCTTTGTCACAGCAGGGACCTCACAGAAAAAGTGATGGATCTCATGGGATCCACAGAATGGGAAGGTCATGGTGACAGGAGTGAACATAAAGCCATCCAAGGATCCCAGGAACCAACAGACAGACATCAGGAGGAGACACACTCTACGGTTCATGAGGACAGGATAACGGAGTGGATGGCAGATGGCCACATAGCGGTCATAAGACATGGTAGCCAAGAGGAAAAATTCTGAACCTGCTAGTGTCACATAGAGAAACATCTGTATCCCACAGGCAGCAGCTGAGATCTTGTGGCTCCCAAGAACCTGGTCAATGAGCATCTTGGGTACAGTGACAGAAATGTACATCATGTCCATGAGGGACAACTGGCTGATGAAAAAGTACATGGGTGTTTGGAGGCGGGTGTCAGAGATTATCAGAAGGATCAGGAGGGCATTCCCAGACAAGGCCATCAGGAAAACCACAAATATGACCACAGCAAGCAGGGCAGGGTGTTTGGACTGACTGAAGAATCCCACCAGGGTGAAATCTGACTGTCCAGTGTAGTTGCTCATCCAGGTAATGATGTTCATGGGTGTTTCCTAGGCAACCAAGAATGCTTTGGGGTTAGCATCATCACGTGACATTAGGAACTAATGCTCAGTGAGATGTCCCTTAACCTGACTGTGCTATCAGAGGAAGTTTCCTGACCTGGAGATCTGAGGATTGCATATTTCACATAGTTCAATCAATTTTTTTTTAAAACTTAGAATTCATGTCTTGGTCAGAAGCATTGGTGATTCAGGGCAAATTCAAGGTCATGAACTTTCCTAAGGACAGACAGAGTCTTCTGTCAAGTATTACAAACTTGAGGAATGCTACTCGATAGTAACAAATAGTGATTCAGTGACAAAATCTGAGGCGTGCTGCCCCATGCTAACACAAATAATGATTTAATGACAAAAGGGGTAAAATCAAAATTATTTTGAACTATGTGACTTTAAAGTAAACCTTGACCTCCATGAATTAAGGATGCAATTGGAATCTTAAAATCTCTGAGGTGTATTACATATAAAAACACTTTTAAGAGTAATAATTTAAGGGGTAAATTTCAACAGGTGAATCTCCTTAGTCCCCAGGATAGGGCTCTCTGAGAGTTTCCCTGCTGCTTGAAGAAGCTTCACCTTCACACAAGCAGGACCAATGCTCAGGACCCTAACAGGCTTGGAGTATGGAGCCCACTCATTGGCCAAATACTGCCACCAGTCCACCTGTCCCTCTACCCACTAGTTCTCCATCTGCTACCTAAACTAATGCCATTGTTGCTACTGGTGGTGATGATGATAACTTTGACTTCTGGTTTTGTCAAGGTTAAATAAAGCAAAACAATGAAAGTTCTTTCAAAAGCCAAAGTAAAAATGGCTGAGCACATGCACTCTTACATTTTTAAGATCCCACTATCCTGGGGGGCCATCTGAGAGATGAGTAATAGTATTGTATTATGGACAACAGTACTTTTGCTCTTCAGTTTAAATATGTACACATTTAAGAATTTGGTTTTCAAAATAACAAGGAAGAAAACTTCAAATGTATAACATATATAGCCTACTTTAAAAAGATTTTGGATTTGAAATTTTTTTCTGTTTGTTACAAGTGCATTAATTTTGTATAAATGTATAAACACTTTAAATATATATTTAGAAAAACATTCACATGAGTGTAGGAATTTGCAAAGAAATGCATAACATATTTACACATTTATCCTTGATTAGCACAGTTAGCAGAAAAATTCACCTGCATAAGGTCTTGGCTTCTCCAGGCTCACGTCCTCACAAGTTCCACCACGTGCTCTAACAGTACAGGACCCCACAGGTGTGTCCCCGGCCAGGCTGTGTTTGTAGCACCATCGGCTTTGTGGAATGTCACAGTCCCTGTCTCCTGGGATCCACGAAGCAGAGAGAAAACTGAGCGATGCCGAGGTGCCTCTCACACGGGTTCCTGCTCTCCGTGCTCCCTGCTCACAGTCTGACTCTGCACTGGACTCTGAAACCAGTCAAGGCAACTTTGAACTTGATGGTACTTAAATATGCTCCTGCCAGTCTGTGCAGGACAACACGTAAATAAGATAAAGTCAAATGTTTAAATGGCTGCAGAATGAGTCAAAGCAACAGGCACAAATAGACCTAGCCCGTCTGAAGCCCGCTAAAGCTTATGCCATGTCTTCTCCTTAAACAGACTGAATTATTCTACCTAAGAAAATTAAAAGTATTTCTTTTAATGTGTATGTGTTTTACTTGCATGTATGAATGTGTGTGTGTGTGTGTGTGTGTGTGTGTGTGTGTGTGTGTGTGTGTGTGTCTTTATTAGCACTACATGTGTCCTTATTGCCCAATGAGTTCAGGAGAAGATATTGGATCCTCCAGAACTGGTTACAGAAAGTTGTGAGCTGCCATGTGCCAAGTGGATGCTGGGAGCTGAACCTAGCTGGGAGTCTTCTGCAAAGAGAAACAAGTGCTCTTAACCCCCGAGCCATCCTTCCACCCATTTTAAACCTTTTGGTTTCTGAAATGGTAAATGTTGAGTTATGGTAGCTCTCACCAACACAGCACAAGTATCATCTCTTCCTAAGAAGAGTTCAGCTGTGGCTACAGGGAAGGGGGAGTTCAGAAAGAACTGCCAGCTCCAGAGGCATTTACACCATTGTGAGAGCTCCCTACACTACTCCTGATGCTGGACTGGTTAAAACCCTGTGCTTTCTGTGATGCTCAGGAAGCTGAGAGAGCTGCAGGGTCCCGATGCCTACATTAAAATGTTGGACAGATTAGAGGCATGTTGCAGAAGATGAATGGAAAGACATATAGACCAATGATATATAGAAGCAGAGGTAGACAGACAGACAGACAGACAGCTTTCCTTTCTACCAAAGTTTCCTTGGCAGATAAAGACTAAATTATGTTCAACATTTAAATGTCCCAAAACACCACAGAGACATCAGACTATTTCATTTATATTTGTGGACATGGTAGATCTCAGGCCAGGGCAGTGGCCCCCACATATGGAAACCTAAAACCTGGATGAATGGAGGTCAGAGGAGACTGGGGGGTTGTGCTGGTCAAGTCAGTACTTCACTCTGTCAAATAGCAGTTTCTGACATCAAGACACCCAGGACACCAGGAGGACTAGGAACACGGTGTCTGAGGCACACCCGGGGATTGCAGCCTGCTCAGACCTGGTCTTCCTCTCCAGTTCGTCTCCTGTGGACAGGCAGATGCAATGTCACACTGGGGTTGCTAACAGCACTGGCAGAGTTGCCCCAAGCTACTGGGGCCAGCAGCATTGGAGTCAGTTCTGAAGCCTTTCTACAGCACCTCTCCCCAGGAGTCTGAGTTACTTACCTGATATTCTTCCTGTTCAGAAGGAGAACTCAGATTTCAGAGTGTGTCCCTAATATGAAAGAACCAACTGACAAAAGATGTACATTTCACCAGTTTTGGTAACAAAGAGCATGCCCCTTCCTCAGTTCTCTTGGAAACCCCATTTCCCTCTGTAGCCTGCAGTTCAGTCTAGGCAATGCCCTGCCCCTTTCGTCACAGGATACATGAGATGAGCATGTAATTCTTAGTGTCATTGTGACACTCTGTAAGCTTGGGGTTCCATGACTGCTGGTGAATACCATAGTTAAGAAGGCAGCATACATGTTCTTCTGTTCCTAAGTAGCTGGGAATAAAATATGCCAAGTCTGTTACATTAAAAAGATAGTATTTGACATTTTTGGAAAAAAGTGCATGCTCTTTTCTGCAGAAAACAAAAAAAAAAGATAGAGGAAAATCAAAGTAATATTGTCAAGAACTACTAGAAGATTCAGAAAGCAGACGTTAAGTCGGGAACAGTGAGTGCTGTGCAGTCTCCCCTCAGCTCCAACTCACCCCAGATGCTTCTGGCAGCCTTGGCCACATGGGCCAAGGGACAGTGGCTGGTTAAGTGTACAAAGAATAGGAGGGGAGTGATGTCATCCCTGGCTGGACTTTGCTCATTAAGGGGTGGCGTGGTGTGTTTTTGTCAATAATGTTCCTTTGAGACTTAGAAGACATAATGAATAAAGAAAAAACAACAGAGAGTCATCTCCACTACAGAGCTATAGTTCTCTCCCTGTGTCTTCTTTTCTTCTTTATTGTTAGTTCATTAGTTAACCCTTTGTTAATTTTATTTTTATTTCTTATTAAGAAAAATTTTAATTCATTTTACATACCAACCACAGATCCCTCTCTCTTCCCTCCTCCCACCCCCCAGCCTTCACCCCAAACCCACCTCCCATTCCCTCCTCTGAAATGGTAAGGCCTACTATGGGGAGTCAGCAAAGCCTGGTACATTCAGTTGAGGCAGGTCCAAGCCCCTCCCCCTGCATCAAGGCTGTGCAAGGTGTCCCACCATAGGGAGTGTGTTACACGAATCTTAGTTGGTCTTTTAATTAAAAAAAAAAAAAAACAGAGCCAGATATCAGATTGAAAGCTGAAAGATCAGAGAAGCAGAGTTCCTGTTTCCTCATGCCTTATATACCTTTCTCTGTCCTGCCATATTACTTTCTGGGATTAAAGGCATGTGTGCTTCCCAAGCAAAGGCATGAGATCTCAAGTGTTGGGATTAAAGTTGTGTGCCACCACTGCCTGGCTCTGTGTCTAATCTAGTGGCTGGCTCTGTCCTTTGATCCTCAGGCAAGCTTTATTAGGGCACACAATATATCACCACAGTAGTAGGCTCCAAAAAGTCAGCTCATGCACCAGGGATGAATCCTGATCCCACTGCCAGGGGGCCCCTTAAGTAGACCAAGCTGCACAACTGTCTCACTTATGCAGAGGGCCTAGGCATCACCATCCTTGACCTCAAGCTCTACTATAGAGCAATAGTAACAAAAAACAACTTGATGTTGGCATAAAAACCATCATGTGGACCAAAGGAATCGAATTGAAGACCCTGACATTAATCCACACATCTATGAACACTTGATTTTTGACAAAGAAGCTAAAACTGTACAATGGAAAAAAGACAGCCTCTTCAACAAATGGTGCTTGCATAATTGGATGTCAGCATGTAGAAGATTGCAAATAGATCCAAGTCTATGGCAATGCACAAAACTCAAGTCCAAATGGATCAAAGACCTCAATACAAATCCAGTTATACTGAACCTGATAGAAGAGAAAGTAGGAAACAGCTTTGAATGCATTGGCACCAGAGATCACTTCCTAAATATAACACCAGTAGCACAGACACTGAGAGCAACAATTAATAAATGGGACCTCCTGACACTGAGAAGCTTCTGTAAGGCAAAGAACATAGTAATTAAGACAAAATGACAGCCTACAGAATGGGAAAAAATCTTCACCAACTCCTTGTGTTTTTTTAATCTCCCAGATTTGTAAAATGGTAATTGTAACTTAAATTAAAAATGGTCTGAAATTTGAACTTTGTAGATAAATCTCAAGCATGAGACACATAAGTCAGGTAATGCATGGCCATAGCCTTGGGTACTTATCAAAGTTGGTTTCTTTTTTTCTCTCTCTTCCTCCCTCCATCCCCATGTGTTCTCTCTCTCTCT